AGAAGCGCCACCACTCGATGAGGCACGAGACCATTCAGAAACTACAATTTGTTACTGAGAATTATTTTGGGAACAAAGAAACTTTTCACTGTACCTATCAACGCACCTTCGATTATTCCAACGAATCTCGATAAACAAACTTTCAATCTGCCAGCATCCTTGATATCCTCGCATTGAAATCAAAATCCAGAAGCAACAACACCCCAAGCATCCACTCAGTCTGTTCGACGATTGAAACAAAATCGTTCTCGGACCTCGGGCCTCTGACTTTGAATATCTACAGGTCCATATTCGGAACCTTGCAATCTGCGTCAAAGCTGCCAATACTGATTCATCCTCCCAATCCTGCAACAATTTATTCAAACAATTCATCTATAATCATACCCTTATATTCCCGCCAGGTCGAGGTTTTACTCCTGCGTAAGATGTTTCTGCAGAAGCTTCGATCCCTTTCCTTTCCATTAAACTCCAAGACTCCTCCAGAGGACGATAAAAAGCATCATCAACGTCGCAAATCAGTCAGAACTCCCAATTCTGAACACAAAAACCCTCTGTCACCGTCTACAACCAATTCCACGAATGGTTCCCATAGTTCTCCGCGGAAAACAAGCATATGTACAGAAGTCAAACAGACATCCGAAATAAACAATGGGATGGATGAGAATCTAGAAGGACGAGAGTTCAGGGAATATTTAGAAAAGTGTAGAAAGGCAGAAGAGGCAGAAGAAAGAAAGAGGAAGAAGATGGCCGAAAAGAGGAAGGAAGTCAATTTAAGCCCGTGGGCTAGGAGGATGTGAAGTTACAAAAAGGAGAAAGAGGAGTTGTCGACACACTTTCTCACTCTGTTTACGAAATGGAGGAAAAGAAAGCTGGTCTATTCGGAATCCTTGATACACGAAGACACGACAACACACGCAAATAAATTGAGGAAACGACGACACAACACGCATATGCGCAACTTCCCAGAAATTGCTTAGCATATTTTCGATGAGTACATGATACAATGTGGAAGGAGAACGCAAACACTCTCTGCCACTCCATTCTCAAATTCTAGCTTTGGTTGTTGCATGCATAATACAAGGACAACTCGGCGGATATGTCTCATACGAAATTAAGAAAGACGAAAGATTTCACGAACCTCGAATCCAACCAACAACCCACACTATTCCCATCCAAGTATGAAATTTGAGCTTGAAGCTCTATCCTCTCTAATTACCTCCATCTGCAACGAACGATGCATACTACAATGCTGCTTTACGACCGCACGATATCCAAATTACTCTTTCCTTAGCCAGCTCCTTTTTCACCTCAGTAGATACCCTCAAACCATTTCCATAGCTTGACTTTTGTTATTCCCCCCACTTTGTTGCGATTTAGGATTCATAATTTCGCTTCAATTCTTTCGATATTCTGGATCGAGAATATCTTTTTGTAATTTTTAGTAGATGGACTTTTTTGGTCAATATATTGTACCAAAGCAAATTTAAATTTGCTTGATTTTATCATACACAAAATCCATCATTTTTCGTACGTTAAACCTATATGTATTTACCATATTCTGTACCCCAGAATATGTCGAATATTTTGTGCATATTGCGTGCTCTTCAGCCCATTCATTCCACACTTAATTATGCTGCTTTGCATGAGTATGTCTCGCTGAAGAGGTATGCTTATATATTTGATCGCCTATAATATGAAACAGTCAACGCCCGCAGCTTCTGTAAGACATACATATCTATCATGGAATTTTATATCTAAATATCTGCGATGTTCACTCACTTATCAATACACAGAGCACCAGTAAAAAAGTGTTTGATCCGTCATCAAAAGCTACCATTCTTGTTCCTCTTATTTGGATATATCAACATACTAGATCTATCCAGCTCTATAACATGTCAATTATCGAGAAGTCAATGTACATTCCGAGCTTTTGTTTTTATTTTCTATTTTTGGCTGATTTACTGTTCATATTGTTGTTCATAAGCACATTTATGTGAACCCATAGGTGTGAATTGCGACCGACTTTCAACTTGAGCAAGGCTCAAGACTCACTGTTCCTATTTACAGGTTTCTTGGTACTTCGAAACGACAGCTCAGCTAACACGACATGAGGATACAACATGTTAAACCATGGCACGGTGAAATGGTAAGACTTGTACATCAGAGTACAAAAACGATATACCAAGTTTGTTACACTGGAGCTTGTACGAGTTGAGATTAGACATTCCAGTTCTACCATTTCGTCTCCAACTTTTCGGCATCACCGATCGTTTCCCTTTAATAAGTCATGACATGAATCTCTCCAATTTACTTGACTCGAAAAATATCCTTATCCTTATCTTATCACCCCTCCAAGAGAATCCCCACCATCCATTTCAAAATCTCATTCTCTTTGCCTCCACCTTGATTCCACTTTTCCGATTATACCCCGGAAAATCACGACCGGGTGAATTCCGGCATGTCTCGCTTTCTCTCCCTAGATCCCAGATCGTCATCCCCCAGGTTTCGGGATACTCGATCGAGTTAGCTTCCGGACGTTTATAGGAAACCCGAGAAGGGTTTGGCAGATCAGGGACTGCGTGCGCAAATCATGCGTCGGATCTGGGGTGATCGTTTGGGATTTTATCTTCATTTATTCAGCAAACTGGCAAGAAGGGGGGGGAGGGGGTAATTACTCGTGAGGGAGCGTTTACCGATGTAATATAACATCATAGACCGTAAGAGCCAAGAGAATAGAGAATAGGAATGATGGATCTAGTGATTCAATTACAAAGTTTAACAAATTCGTGTATACGGATATCCGATGGTAAGACGAGTAATCAAAATCTTTATCAGAAACATACGCATATATTCTGACTAGCACCGTCTGATTCTCCACTCCAATATTACCCGCCCTATCCCATCTATATTCTCCACGTGAAACCTAGTATATTGTATATATACATACACCCGTTCACTTCGATCGTACATAAATAGTCTCATCTCTCCGTCCTACATCTCCATCTCCCTTCGTATTCTCCGACTCCATCTCCGCATTCTAGCTTCACATACACATACACGCAATTTGAACCTTACGCATCACCACAGTCCAACTCCCGTTTCATCCAGACACCTACCTACGTACCTACCTAGTCATCTATCAGATCTCAGATCTTCGATCTCCACCCACCAGATCAACACCGTGGCACTTGAACTTTGAAACTTGGATACTTCTCAAATATCACCAAGCAGACCAATCTCCCACGTTCCACACGATCATTCAAGTCCAGCCATCATTTACCCATCTACCCATCCACCCATCCAAACCATCACCGTCAACCCGGAATCTCGCATCCCGAGAACACCCCCCGAATCCGTCCATCCATCCGACACAACCTCACTCACCACTCATCCGTCTTCGATCCAGAAACTTCAAGAAATCTAAACCCCTAGCTTCTTGATCGAGTCGTCTGAACTCTAGAGAGTCTACCTACCTACCCATCTACCTAGCTACTTAGAGAAAAGAAGCGAAAATAAGTCACACAACCCCATCGACCACTCTATCTATATAATCATAAAATCCGCCTCCATCTCATCTTTGCTTTGCATCGACCGATCAGATCGATCGCAATCTATCCATTCATCTCTGTACTACTCAGATCCCCAAAATTTCATCAGCACACCTCCTAAATTCATTCATTCATTCATTCTTTCTTCCAACCGGTCACTGCTTATACACATCCGTTTGACTCCAGCCAGTACCACCTCACCTCACCTCACATTACTTTCCCTCCCCTCCCCTCCTTGATTCCAATTTCCAAACCTCATCACGTTTTTCTCCCCCGCACATCGCATTCCCATCGACCGTCGAACAGCACACCGATTCTGCGTCACACATTACGCGCACTATCATTGACATTTCTGTTGCACAGAAATTCCAGAGAAAGCATCAATCATCCCAACACGAGAATCTCATTCGATTGAAACAAACCTATCCATCAACTGAATCTCCATCTTTCTGTCGTTATCCAAGACTTCGTTTCAGGTTCTGGTTTTTCGCAGCACCTACATACATCATATTGTTTACATTACTCTCTTCCATTATCTAGTCCATCAAGCAAGGTTCTTTGTTACACGCAATTCAAGCCATTACGTGTTTGGATGCTCCAGTAGCAGGAAATTCATCAGTTTCATATCTTGCTTGGTTGATATTTCTTTCTATATATGTAAATATCAAGTTAAACTGATATCTCATCTCGAACTTCATTTTCATCGGTCCAAAGCAACCATACAAATCCAATCTCAATATCCATATAGGAGAAAACCAATTGACAAAGTCACGGCTTCCAACGGCAAAAACTAAAACGCCATTTATCTCCTCTACTCCCAAAAAGCCACCCAGACGCCTCGCTAAAGGATACATTTTCACACCCTATCATCGATCACTTTGCGATTCACAGGTCAAGCCACACGGGACCCGAGTACAAAACATCCCTTTACGGACACAGGGCCTAGAAGTATCCCAAACCAAAATCAGCTACTTGAGCTCAATCCCACCCATTCATTCATACACAATGATTTCCAACATCAAAAGAAAGATTGCCTCGTCCTCAGCTTCATCCTCATCATCATGGCGAGAGAGAGAACAGAATACTCCATCAAGTAGCAAAACGCGGCATCAATTTTTCTCTCGAACGCCCCAATCACAGCGACAATACCAGCAATGCGATTCGGAGCAAAATAGTTATTGTCCCCGTCATCGCAACTCCTCTGCGACGAATTGGTCCATCACATCTACACTTCTTGACGAAGTAACTTCCTATCAACAACATTCCAGAAGCCGACAAACAAACAACCACCCACATCCGGATTCCTACGAAGCCTTTATGCAAAATGCATTGGAAGAGGAGCAAAGACGGGAAAGACACAAGCGAGCTGTGCGCAAAGCGAACGACGCGTGGCAGCAAGGATTCCGAAGATCAGACGCTGCTGGAACGAGAAGTTGGTTGCAGAATTGTGGATTAGCCAAGTAGGACTATTTGTTTCAATGTCATTCATTAGCGTTATATCATACATATCATACCGATAACGATTTCTTTTGTTACAAGATGAAAATGAGAAGAGGTGGGAGGGAAATATGGATGGGAGTTTGATGAGGATATACCCAGTGTGGAAAGGATGATGGACATAAAGAAGACAAAGTTAAATAGACCAAATGAAAGAAATTAGACTTACTCTCCCATTCCCAATCCTTCATGACACCCACCCAGTGCAATTTTCCTCTAACTGTCAACTCCTGGTCCATCTCCTCCGTAATAAGACCCGCGGCTTGTCTTTGAGCCATGAGTTCCCCAAATGATCCCTGAGACGGCCCCGAAATGCTATGTCTTTGTCTGTTTCCCACCGGTGAAGCTCTCCTACCCTGCCCTCTAATCCCCATTTCATTGAGATTCAACAGATCCGAAAATGAAATCTCTTCATTTCCAATTCCATTCTCCATTCCTTCCTCGAACCTTCTCATATTATCGCTGGGCCCGCCATGCATCCCCGACATTCCCATTCTACCGCCATTCTTCCTCATCAATTCCTGTTCTTTTTTCCTAGCAACTTCGTCTCTTCTTCTCCACACTTCCTGCATGACTTCCCAACAGCGATCGATATTCCCAATCCACATTCTTCTTCCCATACTTGCCCATCTTTCATTAACCCAGGCTCTATCTTCGGCATCCTTTGCTTCACAGCCTGCTGCCAAGAGTGGATATATTTGAACGATAACGAGGCGGCTGCTAAGCGGTACCGTAGCCAGGAAAACTAGGACTTTCTTCGCAAGTTCTGCACATGTTAAAGATGGGATTTCAGGGACGGCTTGATGTAAATGAAGAAGAGTAGCGTAACGATAGGCTTCGGCAGTTTGAAGAGCGTGTTGAATTTCGGAAGTTGGATCTTCAGGAGTCGAGAATGCGGTTGAAGGTTGCCATTGCTCGATTTCTTGCTTGAGTTCCATGGCTTGTGATACTATGCTATAGAATTGATTTCGATTTTTGTACTTTGCGACACAGATTTGCAGCACGACCAATCAGAGGAAATAGTGTTGCCGCGCTACCCATTAGGGGGTCGATTTCTGACATTGGAGTGACGTTGGCGGAAGAAGAAGAAGCAGAAGAAAAGGAATTGGCAGAGAGATTATTAAGCGGCGAAAGAATGTTCTCAAAATCTGTAGAATCTTCATCATCAATCGATGTCAACCTAGCAATAACATCCATGTAAACCCAAGTGTTGCAAAGAAATTTTAATCTGGCGAGATCATCACCCACAAGACTCCTTTTATTGTGTTTTATGAGTGCTTGATTAACCAAGATTTTTGCACCCCTGAGATGTTCAATCCCAGTTGAAATATGCTGATCCCAAGACTCAGCAAATGCAAGGACGAGTGTTGTGGCGAGTGCAGTATCGGTGCGCATTTTTTCAATTCCTGTAGCGAGAGATCGGATGCTGCGACGCATATGTTCCATGCCGTCGACGCGAAGGGCGGGCTTCTCTTTGGATGTATGAAAGGCGGTCATGGATGCGATAGCATGATACAATGCGGGGGAATCGCGTGCAAGAGGCCAAACTAATGTTCTCCATGGATTCTCTGTAGGACCATCTTTGACAGATAAAATGCCACATGTCTGCTTATCAAATCTAAGCATTAGCATCTCTGGGCTACCGGCCGGCACATCCGGCTGTCGATACATTGGACTAAAACTCCTAGGAGATACACTGGGAGATCTTGATTGAGGTTGAAAGGGACTCATGGTCAACCACATATCAGCATCAGATAAGGAAGGCTCTCGAATGATTTCCTCAATATCACCTTCCAGCGATGGATCATTCGTCATTTGAAATTGAGTCATGTTAGGGCTTGACATGGGCATACCCATCATTGCTGATGTCATAGGAATGGACGAAGCCATGGACATAGATGACGGCCTTGTATTCAGATCCGATCCAGACTGTAATAGATCTGCTAATCTTGGTGACTGACCAGAGAAATTTGATCTTGTTGGTGTGACTAGACCGGTGTCTTCAAACATGCTACTTAGACTGCTTGTGACCGAATCCGGCTCAATCCGAGAGCGTTGAGAATCATCCTGACTAAAATTAGGCGTGCTCATATCAAACATAGGAGAGAATCCCGAATGAAGCTCCGGAAGCGAAGTCGAGACATCAAAAGTAGACGGGGAAGGCACTGCGGCATTGAAAAACGAGTCTTGCATCTGCGTATCTTCTCCGCCGGGGGTAGAAGCCGTTCCATCAGAAGCTACTGGACTTGCAGCTGTAGGGTTATCTGGTGCTTTTTCCAGTGCTATTGAACCTAGAGATATTAGAGCCAGTCTATAGAGCTTGGAGTCACTGTTGTACCTCTTTTTTTAGGGGCTGGTGGCGGTGGCGGTTTGTTTGTAAATGTAGCCTCCTCGAATGGCCTCCATTTGAAATCTTTTTTATATCCTCCACAGGAAACTCCCCTCTTATGACATTGCTGACACGAGGGTTTTGTTTCATCGCATTTTAATCGTTTTGCTTTACAAGTTATGCAACCTAACAAGTTGTAAGGAGTTTCAATCAGCATGTGAAGCTTAATGCGGGGCACAAAAGCTCTTATCAATCACGAAGATAAGAGATATGAAAATGAAGGTATCCAAAGCTTACCATTCCGACTTTTTGATTGCTTAGGTTTGTTGATACTATGTTCTTTCTTTGAGGATTGAGCAGCGGATGGCTTGGAAGTCGATTGCTTTCGTTTTTTAGGTGGTGGAGGTGGTTCTGGTGCTGGCTTGAGAACAGGGGAGGAAAGAAATGCCGATGGAGAAGGTATTGTTATCGTCTCCATCTCAAAGGATTCTTAGGAGGATACATCGGTGAATATGAAAGTGATATTGGAATATTGATTCACAATTTCCCAAGGAGATCAAGTTGGAATCTGGAATCAAGCTCGCTGCAACCACAACTGATCTTGCTGCTGGTGATGATGATCTTCTTGATGTGTTGTTCAAAAATATGATAGGAGATACATCCCATGGTTGATTCGGAAGTCTGGGACTCCTTCAAAAAGGTGGAGGAGAATCTGAGATTCGAACTCATAGATTGATTGTTATTTTGATTGGTGAATTAGATGTGTCAGTTTGTGGAGAAGTCGAGCGAAGTCGCCCGAGAGGATGAAGTAGCGTATCACTACAGGGGTGAATAGCAGGTGATATGATAGCGAGTGATACCCAACCAAGATGTAACCATCGGACGTGAATTGCCGTAGATGATTGGGGAAGAAGTTTGGGACATGGTGAAAAAAGGAAACACCTCGAGAGTTGACATGATTGCTTCTTGATTAATAATAAGGTTCATCATCTACTCGCACTCATACATGGTACATGCTACATATATACTTCGAAGTTCGTACAGAGCTTTGATAGAGAGAAACCGTAAATCCCATATGCTTTTTCCGGTTCCGTGTACGCTTCCAAGGTTTACAATTCTATCCAGTTCGTATCTATGCTAATTGATTCATCAGTATCATAGTATCTACCGTCCAATCTCTTCTTTTCTGTTACATAACCTCCGCTTTGTGTATCTTTTATTTTGAAAAAGAAGTGTGTAGGGCTAGACGGGGATCCGTATTGTAGTGTCATGCTGATAAGTCTGATAGGTTAATGCAGCGGGCGGTTTCCGAGGTTCGAATAGATAAGTTGATAACGGTGGGAGGGGAGTTCGTGTGATCGCAGCTAGTGGGAAAATCTGGATTCTGGAACGTTTATGTATAGAACTGATTGATTTCGTTCGGAACTTCCCAAGTGGTCATGTATGCATGATAGAAAATCGTAAGGCGTAAAAGCAAATGGTAGGAAAGATGACGATATCGTGAAGCATTGAACCTACGGAGAAGCTATAGCGGAGAGAAACAATACTTATTATGATGGACAAGTATCTTCAACAGCAAATGCGCAAAGATTAGTTGTGGTAACACAATAGATGACGCCTGACTGTGACGTGAAAAGCTGAGATTACAATTGCTGGCGATGACCTGAAGTAAGAAACACTGAAGGTCTGGAAAAGTTGCATTGTGCCGCTGCAGCGCAATGCGTTCTCATGCATCGAAGGCATTTATGTTCCCGAAATCCTAGGAGCTCTCAGTTGGTCCAAATTGTGCAGGCTTCTAGTGCCAATACACATCTTGTGACTTAACGCGTGGTTTGGTTCGACGGTACTTCTATATTGTGCTGTGGTCAAGTCCGTACTGGGTGGAGATTATGCATGCAAGAAGTGAATATTCTTCCGCTGCCAGATCATCCTTTTTGTGAGCTGAAATATCATTGTTGTGCTCCCTTGGGTACGACAGCTTGGTAGGGCGCGCCTGAAGTCTTGTACAGGAAGAAGGAATCGTGGTTGTTCAACTGCATCAAGGGAAAGATGGTTGCTGGCTGGATCTGCATGTTGTTAGGATTTGACAAGATCCTCCAACAGGTACACTGTCTGCTGAAGGATTGTCGGTACCGAGTATGATGTTGGTTCAAACGCAAGCTTAAATAGTTGGCATAAACAACGTGGCGTGTTGATTTTAGAAATACGGCGTCTCCTACGACAACAACATATTAACGAAAGCTGAAATTCAAATTGGTGCATCATTAAATTAAGTCGTGGTTTGGGCTGCTGTTGTTTCTAAGATGGCATTTCGAGATCGCATTTCGGAACGCCGCAACACCGTTGAGCTGTCGCTTCACTGTACCTACCTGTGGAGATCGTGACGTTAATGTTTCCGATAGAATTTTAATTTATTTGGAAGCTGATGATTCCCTGGCTCGTCTGCGATGATTGAGATTTGCTTAAGAATAAAAATTAATTCTGGCTCAAGAAATTTTCCCGATAATCTAGCTTTTCGTCTCATGTCGCAAAATGGTCGATTCAGCGCGTTAAGGATAACCAAGCTAGATATCTGCACTAGTGTTTGATGGTACAATTTCAACAAACAAGAAAATCAGGGAGGTAGATGGAAAAGTTCTCTCTAGATGAATTCATAATTCAATATACGATAGCTCGGCGAGAATTGTTGAGAGGGCTATTGTTTACATTCGGGTTCTAGGTAATGGTTTTCGCTTAGTTTCATGCAGATTAGGACGAGGATGAAGGGGTTCATAGTCAATTTCAAACAAATTTGGTTATCGGCTTACACTAACATGCTCTCGATTGCGTATTCAAATGTTCTTTCTACCTTCAGTGATTCAGATTCATGAATATCATTTGACAGTCGAGAAAGACTACGGCTGATCTATCGTGTGTATCATCTATAGTTCCATAGAACGACATTTGACAGCCAGCCACGGTCGATCTATCGTGTATATCATTCATAGTTCCATGGAACCACATTTGGCCCGGAAAATGCCCAAAAGTTTGCGTAGTCTCAAATCTGGCCTGGCTTAAGTGCTATGATACCAACTACGGAGACGATCTCCGTACTATTGAAGAACGTCAGATCTGGCGATGATATGCGTATCAAGATAGATGGAGTTTCGCCTTCAAACAGATTCTTGATGAGACTCGATTTGTGTCTCATCTCGTGTTCTACACGGTGAGTATTGAAATTAGTTAGGGGAGGGATGACTTGTTCTTCTTCTTTACCGATCATGATTTAGAGATGATAAGAGTAGAAACAGCCCTATGCGCGCGACTGAATTGAAAATAGTATTAGGAGTATAATCTCCCTAGGCAGTCAAGTAACAGTATATTTAACAGACAAGATAGATGCTCCGCCACAAGGATCTCATCGTGATCAGGGAATCTGGAAATAGCAAATTAGTGGATCTGATCACAATTTTAATGGGCGTCTTCAAGCTTTTGAAAGTGGAATGAATAAACTTCCACTTGTGCACGCACATACGATTAAAATTTCGAGATGAAGTTGTACACTCCACTTGATAGATTTTGACGCGCCATGGAGGATGATTAGAGCCTCAGCCACTACAAGCGGGGCCAACCTCTTTAATTATTTTGAATCCTTGAATGAAAGTTGAACATTATTATTGAAGAAGGAAGATGCCACCAAAACTTATGCCGCCCGCTAATGCAAATGCATCAGCCAAGCCGATCTTTTCTATCCGTTTGGAGATTGGAAGATTCCAATTGGGTGTATCTATCTCCACATTACCATACTATAACCTGTCGTGGCCTTCGAATCCTTGAGAGCAACGACCAAGTATTTGCCGCTCTTAAGAACGAGGATTTGATGTTTGAGAGTGTTGGAGTGAGGGTGGGTGGTGAAGGACGACGGTCAAGGACGACGGTAAAGGACAAAGGTAAGGGGCGACGGTAAGGGGCGACGGTGAAGGAAGATAGTAGGATGGTAAAAAAGCAAATGAGAGTCGTGGATCTACGGAGATTCCGTGATATTGGGGAAGACCGATAGAGATCAATCAAGTACCATTTGAAAGCTATCGTGAAAAGAGAGACAGAAAGAAGAGAGGAAGAGAGAAAGAGAAAATGGCGTGATGGCTTCATTCAGTGGCAGTACGGCACGGCAATGTATGTATCTATCTATCTATATGCTTGGTATAGACAGCTTACGCTATCGCTGTGCATGTATCGCTGCAATGCCAATGAATGGTACATGCTGCTTTGATATTAAAAACGATGATGCAAATATTAATTTGTTGGATATCATAAAGGACCATATAATAATGTTTCATCCGTACAACGAAAGTGGTCTGTTTCCCCCCATGCTTACTACTTATTAAAGCTTTCATTATCTCGTAAAACTTGGATGTATTATCGTGAGCCGTGACATCTACCATCGTATCCCTAAACCTCACTCATTTTGCCTTCACGCCAGCCACTCAAAAATCAAGAATACATCATCATACAAAGTACATATGAAAACTCTTTCTTCATCCCGCGGCTTGGATCGTCGTCAGCTTGGACGCATTTTGGTGATGTAGACCAAGCCAACAACAATTGAGTTTTCACATACCGCAAGTGTCACCTAATGGTTCTGGGCTGCGGGTACAAGAAATTCCTATACAGATTAGTTATGTTGCATCTTTTTTCTGCATCCTTTGAAACAGCATTCAAGCGCATTTTCCAAGCGCATTTGAACAAAATCCATGCATAAGTTGGATGGCGCATAATTCATACGTTCACTTAATCCTAAAGGAGCAATTTTCATATCCTTTCCTGTTTCTGTCCTGACTGTCCTCGCTGTCCTGCTTTTTCATTGGCAGTAAGAGCATCTGAACTCCTCACTTATCCTTGATATCTTTCAAAGCTACCCCGTTTCTATTTACATGGTATGAGCTACGAAACCTTGTCAAGGCTTCTATCCAACATTTATCCTTGAACAAGCCCCTGTACTACTCTCCAATGAACATCGCGCCTTCTCTTCCCTTCGTATCAAGAATTGATATATACAAGAGGCATATCACCATTCATGTCGAAGCCCTCGACCTCCTCTCCTTCCTCCTCCACCTCCTCCACCTCCTCCACCCCCTCCTAATATACCGACATTACACCTCTCTCTCCCCAATCTGCCCTATATTGCATACTTTCCATAGGATCGTCATTAATTCAAGATTTTGGTAAAGTATAATCTGAGCGAAATGGAAGCAATATAATATACATCGCCAGATGTATAATAATTAAGCTTCAGCCTTCTCGTCTTTCGATTGTCATTCTTCTGCATCAACAATGGGGAACAGCCAATCAGTACAGGGCCCAAGACGAGGCAAGAAATTATCAAAACCAAAAACCAAGCCTACCGGGCCACCGCTATCCAACTCCAACAGCCCAAATCCGAGTCGTCGAAACTCCGTTACTGGAAAAGGGATTGCAACAGCTGCAGCTTCGGTCCTT